CCATAATGCGAGAATGATGTAAAAACAAAATTTGTAGCTGCACATAAATTTCATGAAAACAAAAAAAATTGTATAAAAAAAAACGACCAGCGCAACTAACACAAAGGAATAAATGTCTCTGTTTTATCTACTCTAATGTAAATTATGCTTATTCCTCTAAAACTAGAATTGCCTTTCAAATTCTTAAAAAACTATAGACTAAAAAAAATATGATTAGAGGCTTTGAAATTTAGATGCAACTTCGCAGAATTTTTATAATTTTTGCACGAAGTTTGACTATGAATTTATATGGGTTTTGTTATTGTGATTTCGTTTCTACCAAAAAAAGTTGCCCTTGCACGGAGCCAAATGTGTTTGATGTCGCACAAAACCCTTTAAATGGGCATATTTTGCCTTTTTGCCCTTGTCCTGCTCACGCATTTCATAATATTGTCGTATTAAGCAATCATCTGAGTTTCAGGGCAATCATTCCCCCTGACAAAGCTTCAAAGGGCAGAGAATGTGCCTTTTTTTGCCTTAAAAGAGTGTGACATTTTAAGAAACGAACAACAAAATTTGCTCACCGTTTGCCTTTATTTTAGAATCGGACACGAATAGAGAAAGGGGCAATCAAAAGGCAAACATTTTTTGGTAGAAAAGAAATCACCATTAGATAGTGAGCTATACTTTTCATAAAAAAAATTATAAGTATTAAATATGCCAGAGAAGATTAGGAAAAACTTGTTAAAGTATGGTGTGCCTATTTATTTTTCGACCACTGTATATATGTACATACAAACACTGCCGAGCAAANTTTTTTTTATAAAAAATATTGTTCATGCTTTAACGAAAACCATACAAATCAAAATTTTAATCCTTATGCCTACATACACAATTACGGAAAATTCCACAAATTGGGTATGCAGTTAAATCACTCATGAATATTTAGCTATGTAATCGCTTTGATTTTTAATATTTTTTCTTTGCTGACTTTTTGTGTCTTTTTTCATATAAACATGAAATTATCGTGGAAGACTATGTGCAGAACCGTTCGCAAAAAAAATAGTCAACAGCAGTTTTTTTTAATAAATTGAACTTGATATATGAAAAAACCGCAAAGGCCGTCAGCAAATATAGTCATCCCAGTGAAGGTTTGGTCCTAGGATAGTACGTAGTCCAAGACACTGGAAGCGTGTCTTCCGTCTATCAGAACACAACCGATTGGGCTTCTCGTCTTCGATAAGGGGTAGCCATGTAGCTTGATGAATCTTCTATTGGTGAGACCTATAGTTATAGACTACCATTTCTTGGGCAAGTTCGATCAGAGTCACTCCAGAATTGTAGCTGTACTTTAGCCATGATATCTGTTTCCCAACACAAATCGAGCATCGAATTCGCGCTCTTTTTTATGGCAGCTGCAGTAGACATGGCAGGGCCCCCGCTATCCGGCCTATTGCTTTTAAGTTAGAGTGCGTAGTAATAAGGTTCTGTTTAGGCGTACGCTTTAGTTTTATCTCAAATGATTAAAATATAACCCCGAGATCGAAAACATTTATTTTTTTTTTTGCTTTCAAACGAAGGGAACTGTAGAGGTTTTACTTAATTTTTAATTAGTATTGTACCCATTTTTTTTTAAGCGGAAACTATTTATTCCGATTATTGCACAGTTAACTTAAATATAAATAAAAACTTTTACCTTGATATTATCATGCATTAGGTGCCATTTTAAAACTGTTTTGTTTAATTAAATTTTTTTCTTGAAAACATATGCTTTTTTCCTCAACTCTCTTTTCAGCAACCTCTTGCAAACAAAGATGGCGCGTTATACGCAGATCTTTTAAGAGATCGCTTGGCGGAACGCCAAGAAACCGCAAAGCACATCGAACACAAAAATATTATCTACACGATGTATTAGAATTCTTTATGCCACATATAAACGGTGGTCCGGAAGCGGAACAAGTTCGCGAAAGCGATGATGAAACGGAAAGCGTGAAAAGAAGACGATCGTCCACTATGAGCGACATTAAGACTAAAGCAGATGAAAATCTAAAAGCAGACGAGTTTATTGAGGAGAGAAAAATCGACGAACATGACAAGAAGATTAAGTCGGAGGAGCATACAAAGAAAAACGAAGGAAAAAAGAACTCTGATAGGATAGATGAGGTAATTGGGGAGAAGAATGAAGAAACCCCAGCGGAAAAAGATACTAAGTCAAACAAAAAATCGTTACCTTCAAGACGCAAAACATTGTACAAAGAAAGAGAAGAATTGAAAGTCGAAGAGTACAAAGTAGATGAACCTAGATCAAATAGAAGATCTCAGGCGTCTAAAGCTAAAGTTGAGGAGAAAATAGACACTGAAGAGGAAAAGGAACAAAAGACATTTGAAACTAAGCCAAATAAGAAGTCCCAAGCGGCAAAGAAAGTTGACACATTCTACATTAGTCCAAAGGACAGCGATTCAGGAACATTTGTTATAAGAAAGAATAATGCTAATAGAAAGATTGAAGATGCGGCGCAAACTAACGAAGAAGTTGCCACTCATGACGATAAAGACGAAGCAATTGCTACGGTGGAATCCAGAGATGATAGTAAGGAGGATAGCAAAGTTGGGGAAGCCGACGAGGCTGATGAAACTGAAGAATCGCCAACGGCACAGCAGAATGATTCACGTTTTCGCTTTAAACGCGCTTGTAAGCGTGGCTTGGATAAGTCGATGATCAATCAGCTGCGGCTGCGTCAAAGAGAACCGGATTTGAAACGTATAAGACACAGCACAGAACGTTTGAGATCAATAGCCAAGGCAACTTTAGAGCTAGCAGAATCGATTAGGACTCCCAATAAAGGAACAAATCCTAAAGAAATGTTATCAAAAAACATATCAGACTTGCGCGCTTTGCAAGCTGAGGCAACGGAGATGGAAGTGGAACCTTCGCCTATCACAGCACTTGTCAGTACAAAACAAGCATTGCCGACAGCGACTGCTTCGGTGGCGCCACCGTTAACAAATCAATCAATCGGTATACGCGCCATTACATTTGAGTCTCAAGCGGCTGAGACATCGCTCGCTCGCATGCACCAAAGCGTACAATGCAATCTACAACCGACTTCAACAGATGAGGACTTTCTCTGCACACTTAAACCCTATTTAAATGACATGAATGCGCGGCAAAAGTTGCATTTCAAGAAGAAGATCTTCGAATCATTGATGGAAGTGTTTGACAGCGGCGCGAATTTCCCCGCCGACGCCAGTAAGCCAAATGCAGCTGCAGCGCCACCAGCTATCATACCAGCACAACTACTAAAAAAAGTGGGTAACGAAGAGCTGCGCCTAGTACGTGAACTAGTCGCAATGGTGCAGGCGGCCAAGCAGACGCCAGAGCTCAATTTGAGCACAAACAGCCCCACCGATAGCGTGACAGAGTTAGTTAGTGAAAAACGGCCCACCATTTCACCATCCGTGTCGGTGTCAGTTTCTGTGCCACCACCACCGCTAACATTACGCTCTGTATCTGCAATCAACGCGTCAGTGCAGAGCATCACATCGCCGGTGGGTCTCAGGTTACCAGTTCAATCGAGGCAAGTGAGCATTAGTTCAAGTTCGCCCAGCTTCACGCTTTCTACATCTATGGCCAACACGCTTGCGCCGACTGCAGCTTCTACTCCAGTCACAACTTCAACTGCAGCATCGTCTCCAATGCTCGTGCAGCGTCGAATCATCCGCAAGTTGGTCAAAGTAAATGAGTTGGGTCAACCCACCTATGAACTTTCTGCCCCTAGCCCAGTTAAGACATCACCACCTCCCGTAGCAGATGGCTTGCGCCGTCGTATTTTACGCATATTCCCGAAGAGTTCGCTATCCAATGGAAGCTTGGAGAATGCGGTCACCTCCAGCGGTGTCGGCACTTTCGTAGTACCGCGCTTAAGTAATGCTACAGCGAATATTGGTCATCAAAGCATCAAAGTAGTAAGCACTGCAGCCACATCGACCACCGTCAGCGCGTCCTCAATAAACACACAAAATATGCGACAATTTGTGACACCAGTCAGCACTATCGGATGGACTACTGTTACCATCGGGAGTTCTACAACTACAGCGAACTCATTGACAGCATCGGGTATCGCTAATCGCGCTGTGGGTGTAAGTGGTGCACGTCCTATTGTGCGTCGTTACTCGGTTTGCGGCGCGCTACCCAATGTTACGGTGGAACGTCACACAGCCTCTAACTATTTGACCACAACTGCTAATACCAAACCCGTCTCGTCGACAACCCAAAGTACTACCGCGGCAGCGCGTGACTCTCCACTAAGCTTCAATTTAAAAGATATTTTCAAGTTACCCGCGGCTATGCGCAGCACAACGACCCCAACAACCACTCAAGGAACTACGATAGTGACCAAAACAACTTCTTCCAGAACTATGCCGGTGCTCAGCGTCTCTGCTTCGGATGGTAGCACGTCAGCTAGAACTATGCCGCTAACAATGGGTTTTAATAAGTTCGCACGAAATGATGGCGCAGCTATTGGATCGGCTGATGCTAGGCCAAGACCCAAACAAATTATCTACCACAAAACCAATATGGGGATTTGTCAATCCACCATTTCGTTGAATAACAACTCTTCTAACTTCAACGCTCCTACATCTCCCTCTAAACATTCTGCTCAATTGAGTGCGGGTGTAAAACGTTTGCTTGAGGACTCATCAAATTCATCGGAAAAACGTGTTTGCGCTAATGGGGAGAAAGGGAGCAATGGCGAGGCTACTTCCGCAGAGATGGCTGGTGTCATAGACTCGGATGATTTTACTGCAGTAACTGTCAAATCTGAGCCAATCGAAGACTACTGATTGAAATAGTTGTGGAATGGGAGTAACCCCAAATGCTGCCTCATATTACATACTTAAACATAATTAGTTTTTAGAATTCTTATGTCCGTTGTTTTTTTTTTTATCCACACTTAATTTTTCAGCCTTAATATTCAAAGAAAGATGGAATTATTAATGTGAAATGCAAATTATTATTATCTTTTATTTCAAATAAATACGACATTGAAATAGAGAAATACCAGGGCGTACTTTTATTTTAAATTGTTAAAACTTGAACCGCTGGTTAAACCTGGGAGAAAGGTAAGTTGAAACTAAAAGCACTAGTTTTATAAACGTTATTCTCTAAGGGCCCATTTTGACGATATCCAAAGGCTCACACGTTCCCCAATTTGACATCGTGTCGCTCATTTTGCCAAGCGGAGGTAAAGAAGTTAAAAACAACACATCTCCAGGTTGGTTATGAAAAGTAACTGATTTACAGAACATTATCTTTGCCACAGTTAAGGGACTACTGACGCCTATCGAGGAGAGAGAAAATTATCTAACTCAAGACAATCTAGGTAGAGTGTCGCAAATTAACTTCCTCTACGATACGGAAGTGTCCTCGCTTGTTGTAACATTCTACAACTAAGGTCTGGATTTACAGTGTCCAAGCCGCATCAGACAAAAAGTTGTCTACATCATGTAATAACAGCTTTTTATCGTTATCGCGAACTCTAGCCAATGCTTTAAAAATCAAAGGGTTCAAGTGTGAAACTTTTTCCGTGAAAAAGTGTACTCCTAACGGTTCCCGTAACCTGAAAATCGCAGTCAAGGGTAAGAGCATCCAGAATGGCTCCGATTCGCACAAATTATGTGTAGATATAAGTATATGCCCTTAAAAATAATCAGAGAACCTCCTCTAGCCTTAAACCCTAATAAAATTACACAGCGTCAGGTGCTGCAGGGTTCCCCCCAGACAGGGTAATCTACGTGCTTCCTCCATACAACTTTATCGTCAAAGATGAGCCCGATATATCTTGTTGCGGAGCACCCAGGTAAGAATAATAACTAATATGGCGGGGTTGTGGCGAAATGCCTTTTTACGTAGACAAAACATTGTATGCACGGTATATGCTAACCGCTGACATTGCCGCAATAGAGATCTGCTCTACGTCAAATACTATAAGCCGCGGGAGACAATTGACATCTTCGCAAGATTTTATTCCCATGATAGCTGAAATTGTACCGTAAGACCCCTAATATCCAGGAAAAGTTACATTCTAGTTAAATTCCTGCAGATTGTTAATATTTTCAGTCATAGAGTTTCAAGAGAGCACAAGTTGAACACATATATTGCTCTTATCTTCAGATGTTAGACCCGGTCCCGGAAACCAGTTAATTTCTGCCTATTTTTATGGTCGAGTTTTTGTTCTGCGTTCTCTTCGGGGTCATCATTTTTCGCCATTTTTGTATATATAAAAATCGCTTTTATCTCTTTTGCCGACAGCATGGTTTTGTATGCTATGTATTTGTGTATTTGTATACAGCTGCGATAGGGTGCATTGGGGTATAGTCATTGTGCTGGATATGCAGTGCCCGACTCTTGCGTCCTCGTTCGAGCACTCGGGGCAACGTGAGTAACGCATGTGCGAGATGCGGTAACCATCCTTAGGAAGAAAAGCGAGTCTGGTGGTAAACGAGGACAAGACGAAGTATTTCCTGTCATCAAACAAACAGTTTTATCGAGCGTATTGTGTGAAAGACTGAAGCCCACCGTCAATGAACTGATTGGGCTTTATCAGTGTGGCTTGAGACCTGGCAAATCAACCATAGACCAGGTATTCACAATACGCCAAATCTTGGAAAAGACCCCCGAGAAAAGGATCGGCACTCACCACCTATTTGTCGACTTTAAACCCACTTTTGACAGTACTAAAAGGAGTTGCCTATACGCCGCTATGTCTGAATTTGGCATCCCCTCAAAACTCATACGGCTGTCTAAAATGACGTGGAGCAATACCACCAGCTCCGTCAGAATTGGGAAAGACCTCTCCGAGCCGTTCGCCACAAAACGGGGTTTCAGACAGGGCGACTCCCTTTCATGTGACTTCTTTAATCTGATGTTGGAGAAGATAATAAGAGCTGCAGAACTGAACCGCTCAGGAACAATTGACTACAAGAGCGTGCAATTGCTGGCTTATGCCGAAAGAAAGATGGAGAATGACTTGGCTTCACTTCAGTTGGCACAGAAAAGAAAGGACTGGCGTGCTTTGTTGAACTCGGCCAAAATCGCTTAGGCCAAATAAGAAGAAGAAGACAGGGTACTTACTATCGTAAGTTTGGTTAGGTCCCGTCAGTCTATAGGGGCTGCCTTCCTACAGATCCTAATGCGGGCGTACTTAGGCTATAATAGTTTCATTTACGCAGCGATGAAAAGTCCAGATTTCTCACAAGTTGCAAAGTGTTGATGAAGAAAAATCTATCAGAGCTTGAGTGAACGTGCTAACGATTTCTTCTTCGTCCCGTCAGCTTCGACAGCAGTCGTTTACTGGAAAGCCAATACTTTTAGTGTGCTTTCCCATTAGGCAATGATTAGTAATGATTCTCACAAGTTGAATCGGCTATGGCTTGACAACCTGTTATCCCCCATCTCCGCCCATACAGTTGTTGTAATGAAAGGATGTAATCAATACTTTTAAATAAATAAGCGCTGTGGCCAATCTGCCCAGCAACTTGACTCTCTGAGGCCGGTACTCCTGCTCCATAGGACCAACGTCCAATTAAGCGTTTGACGCTCTGGAGAAGAGCGATTATGGCTGATGTGTGGACAAAGGAAGGAAACGATTTCGTTGAACCTTTAACAACACTGGGAGCGAGAGAGAGAGCGAAGAGATAAAGATAAGGTTAAGAATAAGAATGGGGATAGGATAATGATCAGGATTAGGATCGTTATAAAAGTAGGGACAAGGAGGAAATATAAGGGTAAGGGTAAAGAGTAGGATAAGGAGTAAGGACAATGATAAGGATAATGATAAGCATATGGCATAGGGATATGGATAAGGATAAGGATAAGGATGAGGGCAAAGCCAAGGCAAACGCTAAGGCTACGCCTAAAATCAAAATTAATATTAAAAAAATTTTGCAGTATGAAACAAACCAGAAACTAAACCAAAGCCTGGACCCGGGCGCATTCTGTTTTTTTCTAATAGTGGTCGCTCCTCGGCAAGCATTGAGTGGAAAACTTGTTAGTAAGTTAATACAGTCATCTGGAATCGTAGAATCGTAGGTGATTCTAGATTTCTCTATTACTTAGGCTGGTCCCAAATACTCTATAACTATGAGCCAAAGTAAAGTTTCTCAGTTTAGCCCCTAATTACATTAGCGTCCATATAAAAAATAACGGCGTATTGGATTGGAAGTTAAACGCCACCGAGAAGACTTATTTGTAGGCGGCACGTATGCCTGCGTATGTATGTACATAGCATGCACATTAGGGTGGTAAGAAAATGAAAATGTTTAGCTCTAAAAAAATATATTTAGAACTGCCTCAAAGCCCAATAAGTTTTCCACTTATTTTTTATGGGTTAAAATACTTTTTCGTAGAAATGGTATAGAATACTTGAAAGTCAAAATTTTTCTATTGGAAAACTCTGTTTATCTTCAGGGCACTTCCAAAAATATTACTTAATTGTTTACTTTACCATAATAAATACTAATTTTTTTATGGGTCCCCTTGGGGGCGAGAGCTCAACATTTTAAACTTTTTGTTTCCGCATATATTTTTGGGCCACCCTAGTGATACATGAGTACGTACATATGTGTGTGTTTCCGCATGATTAGCGTTACATGAATTCGATAAGCGGCGCTAATGCGGTCAGTTTCAGCGCAGTGCCCG